GTCCCTTTAAGATGCAGTTATGCTGAGTTATGCTGTACTCAGCCTATAGATTCCCAAACATGACAAGATTCTTACCACGGGTGATGTAGTTGTTAAGACTCACCTCACATCTTCCATAGTGATCCTCGTGAAGAGTAGCATCACCTTTTTTTTCTGCACCTCAAACAACCTGGTTCCAATGATGAAAGGGTTTGCACTGGATAGTGTATCCAATGCTATCAAGCAAGAAATACATATGAGACAGGCTTGGTTTCCTGCCCTGGTTCACTTGCATCCATGGACAGGCACTCAGCTTCCTTTGTGCTGAGTTGGTCGTAGAGGTTATTGAGATTGGAAAACAACTTTCCAATCTCATCAGCCTGCCTCGATGCTAGTTATATTCAAATTCTGCCAACCGACTGGTATATATAAATATATATATATACAGTTACATATAAATATATATATATATATTTGTGATTTGCAAGAACCATATGCAAACCAGAGGCTGCGTAGCACATGGAGTCTTCATATTTGTCAGGCGTTCCTGGATTCCTCAACAGACCTCCCCAAACAAAGAGTTGGAGGTCCAAAAGCAGCAGCTTTAAAAGAATCTTTGTCCTGCTGGTCTGTGCCAGCATCAATTTTCTTCCCAGGAACACCCAAGAACGTTGGCACCAAAGATAAAAGAGAATCATTTGGATAGTTGGGAATACAACTGTCCTTGGAGCAGCTGCCCCCTAAATTGCACAGTACAGCCAGTACAGCAAACTTAAACTGACACAACCTGACATCATTTGGTCTCTAGGTCAAGCACTTGGACTTAGAGCCCGCATTTGCCGCAGCAGCTGCGGCAGCTGCTTGCTCGCATTGTCCTGTCGAAGGTTCGGGTTCATCCTGACCAGGGTGTACAAGATCCTCGGTGTCCATCAAAGCACCATCCTGGTCCTGCACATATGCGGAAAACATGTTATGGATAGATGGGACACACCGTTCAGGATTCATGTGGTCCTCAACTGCACCCCTCACCCTGTAGGCCCTGTAGGCCCTGTAGGCTAGTCTTGCTCCCAATCTCATTGTTGTACTGGAAGTGATCTGACAGAACTAGCTTCGCCTCTTCCTCCCCATGAACAGCATTTTGCGCAGCAGTCCACGGGCTTGTGCCCGCCATTGTGCAACCTCTCTTCAATGCTGCTTTCTTTGCAAGATGGTAGCTGAACTCTTTCTGCTCTGCCTTGCTTTCTTCTCACATGCCTCTGCTTCCTTGGGATTCTTCTGAAAGCGTCATCACACTTTCTGCTGCCGCACTTTGATGGCTCCTTGCCCTTGCCATCCTTTTCTTCCTTGTCCTCAGGCTTGGCTGCTCCCTTGTTGGATGCTCTCGTTTCTGTCTTCACATCTTTCTTCTTCTCAAGCGTTGCCTTCGTGCTTTCCTGTGTGCTCTCACGCTTTCTCTTCCTCACCTCTTTGCCAACCTCTTCTGGCTCCTCTTTGGGCTTGGACTTCTCTTCATGAAGATCCTGCGCCTTCCTGGCACGCCGGCTTGAAGCAGCAGCGTCTGTCAGCTTCTCCGGTTCAATGGCATCCTCCTTCTCAGCTTTTGCTACTTTCCATTTCTTGCCCCCCGCATCCTCAGTCTCCCCCTTCTTCCCAGCACGTGCCTTCACAGGTTCGGTCTTGCCCTCTTTGGACTTTGATGCCCTGTCATCCTTCTTCTTTTCTGCTTTGTTATTTTCTTGTTGGCATCATTTGTCTTCACTCTCTTCTCCTTTTCTTCTTTGGTCTTCCCTGGCAGGAGTCTTTCCGCTTTCTGGTTGGCTCTAGCTTTTTTGGGTCCTTTGGGTTTTGTAACCTTAGTCTCTTCTGGGTCTTCATCGTCAGGCTCATAGTATTCGGTCCCCTCCTCCTCTGTTTCCTTTTGTTCTTCTTCCTCCTCTTCCACCTCGTCATCTTCTTCTGATTCTTCACCACTGGAAGCTTTACCACGTCCACCACGTCCTTTCCCACGTCCTCTGCCACCTCCTGTTCTTCACATGGAATTCGCAAAGCTGAATGCTGATGTGGCTCTTCAATTGACATGTTCATAGTTTGCACCATGCGTTCATTCTCACTGCGATCGAAAGAAAAGGCATTTTCGATCACTAGTTTGGCTTCTTCCTCACCATGTACTTCGTTGTCTCGAAGCAGTTGGTTTCGTGCTGCAAACTCCCACGCATGCTCCACCATCTTCCTCAAAGAAAAGCTTAATGCTATTTAGATATTTAACATACTGTCTCCCATAGCGTGAGAGCAGTAGAAAGCAAGAGGACAAAACTGAGGTCGTCTCTTCGTCCAGTTGTGGGTGGTTAACAAGCTGTGCTTGGTAACCCACTGGCCACTCCGTTGTTGTCCCATAGTCGACTGTGACCAACGCTGCAACTGAACCTCGACCAGCGAAAAGTCACAGCCTTTCTGCAGCATGAGTTGTCTCAGCTTTGATCCTGGGCAATGCGCATGTTCCAAAACCTGAATTCTAAAGCGGCCTAATTCTATCATTACCTGATGACCCCAAGCAATCATGACCAAGAAACGACCATCCTTGGTTTTCCAAAGTTTTGGAGCGTCGGCTGAACAAGAAGACGCCTTCATCACACATTGCCTTCGCAACCTTAACCCTGTCACATGACTTCCGAGTGATTTCCTAAAATGATTTGAGGCATAAAACTTCCAATACAGCGCATCCTTCTCGCTTGATGGCTTTTGCTGGGATGGTGTTTGTGACTTCTGGCTGGGGCTTTGGGGAAGCACGTTCGGATGGGGCTCCTCCATCCGCAGACTTTGCTGGTGTGTTTCTTGGGGTCTTAAGGTGCATTCAACATGGAATTCGGGTCTTTGGATCATGGCCCATGCTTTTCCTGGAACTCTTGACAGTATCCGGGGGGTTGGGATGAGTTGTGGCCACAGACTCATCAACAAATGCTTGGGCCAGATTCCGCTTGACAGAGCCTGATTGGTTTGGCGGCTCACAAGGGCAGGTTGGAGGGGTTGGAGGTACTCCTGCTGGAGAATGACCTGCGCAGTGTGCAATAACCGGAGCACCTGCAACAGAACAATTTGGATTGATGAACAAGCTGCATGCACAGGCTACAGGCCTTCAACGATTGGCACCACACCAACATCTCCCTCATCACTGCACTCTCGTAGTTGAGCTCGCAAAGTTGTTGCGAGCCTCTCCTCTTGAGCCTTAGCGCCGAATATAGTTTACTCACCCTCCCTTATGTATAGTTTGTGGGCCCTCAATTCACAAAGAACAAATTTCAACTTGCAACTTGCATCAAATTAGACGAGGCTCCTTTATCAGTTCATCAATCCCCAAGTTCCCCTCCGATGGTCCCTGCGTGTTCCGCCCCAGCATGTCTGATCCATAGACCAGAGTGCTGCAAGATCCGAGTTTAGGCGGCTCGGATCCAGACAACATGTTTTGCAAAGCTAGCCGAGCTGGGAACTAGTACCACTAAAAGGCCGCTGTATACATGTACTTTGAACGCTCCGAATGTACGAACTTTGCTGACGGAGTGGTATACTTTTTGAAGTTGCGGAAGATTGTGTAGATTTGCGTCGCGGGCTGCACCAAATGGCGCTCCAATTCGAGCGCCCCAGTTTTCCCAACAACACACCGGCTTAGATCAGTCCGAACGGATGAACATGTACGAATTTGCTCAAAAGCATTCAAATTTCCTTTGCAACCAAACCGGTCACAAAGATAACTGGTGCGCGGCCACCTTAGATTACAATGGCCACTGCTAGGCAAGTCTTCCAGGGTTGTAGTGAGGCTGATAGGTGCGAACAAGAATCCAAATCTTTGTGGAATTGCGACATAACTGGCTTCCACTCTGCTGGAATCCTGCGCAGGCTGGCATCTCCACTTCCCAGGCTGGCAGCGGGTCAGCGGAGAAGGAAAGTAGAAGGGCACCACTAGGTTGGAGGTGGCCTGAGATAGTCCCAGAACCCCTTCAAAACAGGCGCCCAGGCCACCTTCCTAAAGGGGCCAGAAAAGTGGTGCACGGTTCAGCAAACATGGATCTTAAGTCTTAAGTGCAATACGAATCAGTCCCAATGAATCTATTACAATTTAATGGTCCTGGTGCGTGCTGAGAAGTAGAGGTACTGAAAGACTGGAAGCAAGTCGGCGTCTTGCCATACATCACCAAGCTCAAGCTCTTCAAAAAGAGCCAGCTGGGATTTGCCAGGCTTAGGCGTTTTGTTGACGCGTAGGTCTCCACGGGGTTCGCGCCTAAGCTCTTCCACATAGAGCTCATGAATGCTCCGCCCCATCGCATGTGGTTGCATTGGAGTCTGTTAAATCCAAGTTTCTGGTTGTGGATACTTTGGTCTTCAACTCCTTCTCTTTCTTGGAAAGGACTCCCATCCGTGGTGCGTAAGCCAGAAGTATCTGATTGCAGCTAGTGTAGCTTGAGATGAACCAGTGGATGGCATGGTAAGTAAGCACTTTGGCACCTGCTTCCGTCCGCTGCCAAATCGTGCGAGAGGTGGGCTTCTCATGTCTTGATGCGGCAAGGGCCATTGACCAACTCAGGCGGCGTGAAAAGCGGATCAGGATGGCAACATCGAAGCTTCAAGTTTCTGTTCTAGGTCGCCTTGCTGGGCTGAGTCGGATGGGACTTGGAGCTTGCGTCGTGCGATTCTGCGCGCCTGGACGTGGACATTTCGCTATTCCCCCAAATCGGTTTCTATATTCGGATGTTCCATCGATGTTCCAATTGGTTTGGTTTGGTGTCACGACTTTTCCCTGAGAGTTTCCACTGCCCCCAGCTTTAGACCGCTCGAGTCTTCAGAGATCCATATCCCAAGACCTATGGGTTGACGTCGCCTTCTGGACTGGTTCAGCTGATGAACTTGCATGCATGACCACTCAAATAGAGGGCTTGTATATATATATAATATTGGAACTATAGTAATTCGACGTGTGCGGTATGTTTAGCCAATGATGTACAGGCATCAGATAATGCCCGTGTGATCAACAATTTGTTGGTGTTCAAGTGGAGTGGGGCGGGCTGTGCCATGCTGGAACCTGCCGCTCCTACACCAAGGTGGGAGCAAACAGTATGCCCCACAACATACAGAGGAGATTCCATTACCGCTGCAACGCCTTCGTTGTTTGCTGTGTCCTTGGCACTTGCACATGGATTAGACCCGCGACCGGTTCGTGGGTTCGGTAGCCACAGTATTGGGGACGTGTGGGTTCGGTAGACTTGGCATGATGTTGACTTGTCCCGGTTTGGATTTCGATACCTTGGGCTCTGCAAAAGATGTGTCGCTGTTTTTCTTTTTTATTTCGGCCGTTGTTGGAGAGAAATCACACCCTATAGCGAAGCACCTACAAGAATTCAAGATCAAGTAACCAGACGAAAACGGTTCGACACCCTCCTCCCGAATGGTTGCACCATGTTGCACCACATCCGAACAACGAACAACACGAACACCGTGGGCACCGACGGGGTGGAGGCGTGGCATGTGCAATGGCACCTTCCAGAGGTTGGGCCATCGCTGTTGGTGGTTGATGTCCACGCTGAAGGTTGTCGATGTCAGCGGTACAGGAGGAGATTCCAAGGTGAAGCATATTGAGCCCTAAGTCATCACGGGCACCCCCACCCACGCTGCTCGAATTACTCACCTTTCAGATGGTGATTTCCAAGGGGTTTCCATCCCTTGCTCGTGACGTGACAGCCGTGCCACGTCTGACCTGCCCAACGTCTTCCATTTGGCTCAAATCCTCAGCATTTCCCGCAGTTCCCAGCGATCTTCGGTCCTCGAAAACAGTGAAAACACTGGTTAGGCCCGAAGCTCAGTGCTGCAGTGCCACTTGTTGGCTCAGCTCCGCTCAGCCACTTCGAGGTCAAGATGCTCAGCCGTGTTGTCGTGCCTGTGAGCTGGGGCCCTTAGCGGATGGATGCGTTTGGCAAACAGCATGAACCACAGGGTTCCCTTTCGATTCCGGATAGTTTTGTTGTAATTATTTCAAATACCCTCGTCTATCCATCATACTAATGTTGTGTTGATGCTTCTTGCATTTCCTCGCAAAAGACGGAAGCTCAACAAAACCATCACCTTTTAGGTGCAAACATCAAATCATCAAACAAATGGTCTGAATGATTTTCGGAGCGTTCACCGGACATGCATGTTTCTTCGATAGGTATAGCAGCTAGTCTTGTCAGGTGAGTTGTTGAACTGTGTAAAGCACGGAAGGCAACAATCGAAAGATGATCCACGAGGTTTTTGTCCTTGTTGCTTTGTTGCTCGGATCATCAACCCCGACCCTCACAAAACCTCAGATTTGGCTTGAGAGTTGCTCCCTTGGGACGTCTCAGACCATCCATCCGAAGCCCAGACGTGTCCGACCATAGCATTGATGTTGGACTTGACGTCTTGAGGCCGCCAGTCTGTGCGTTGCCTAGCACCCTGCCTCTCGCAGATCCGCCATTTTTCACGCCCTCTTTGTTTGTCGGACCGGGAGAAGAGGCAGGCTGCGGCCAAGCAGACACAAGCGGACACGCGAGGGTGACGACGGTGGTGCGCTGTTCCAGGAACATCGTCAGCCTTTGGCCATGGAGATTGGAGCAAACTCAATCACTGAACAGGGGGTGCTTCATGCTCAATTACCAATGTGTGTATCCGTATGAGTGATCGCTGGGCGGAGCCAATTCGCCGATGAGTTTTGGAGATTCTGGGCAGTGTTTTGCTGATCTTCATTGATCATTGATTTTTGTCATATATTCAGATTCATGTCTTTTGTCCAAAGCAACTTGCCACGCGTCAACACGCGCCAGAAACGCACGCGACACTCTGCGCAGGCAACTGATTGTTCGGGGACAGAACGTGCCGGTGAGCGATGAGTACTGGGAGCCTTGGAGAATGGAGCCCAGGGAGGGGCAGGGGCTGTGCTCCAAGCAGGCTGTGCTCGGTGCTAGGTCCGCTATAGGTGCCGGTCCAAGCAGATGGGAGCCTTGCACGTTGGGTGATGTGAGGTGCCTGAACCCGAACTCCAACAGTCCAAGCACCTTTTGCTCGGACGCATACACAAAATTCCATGGTGAATTTTGATTCGGATGGACTCCAACGTCCAAGTGACTGTAGGATGAATACTGGGCGTTGGAGTGCGGAGCCTTTTTGATCTCAAGGACTATGTGGCAGATGAGCAGTCTGTCAAGGATGCAGAGGTCTACAGGAGACATAAACGGGACAGAAAAGCACGTTGGGTCAATTTGTGGCAAACGGCCTTTCACTCTGCCCAGTAATTTTGCAATCACATGATTCAGGACCTCAGGAATCCCTGAACTTGTCATAGTGCTGACTTGTGTGTGGGTTTGTTTTCCTAGACGTGACATCCATTGGCACAACTCCAGGAACAATACCGAGAACTACGCAGGAACTGTGAAATACCCAATTGGCGTGATTGGGCCACTGAAGGCAGCGGCTATCCCGAAATCGCGCCCATTTTGGCAACCTGCATGCCACCTCCTACAGTTTTCAGAGTTGCGCCTTTTCCTGCTTCAAAGTTGACAGCTACCCAAGCAGTCACCCAGATCCAGAACTGCACACAAGTGAGGACTGGACACAAGAGATATCTCCTGTTTCAAGCACCAATGGACCATGTACTCATCAGTCCTTCACATGGTTCAGGTGAACGGAGAGTATGCGAACAAAGAGTACGTCGTGCCCATGGCGACCCATGAGGGAGCACTCTTAGCCTCCTATAGCCGCGGTGCTAAGGCAAGAGTTTGAGATTGAAACTTGTATTTCATTGTTAACATTGACGTATATTGTACATAATATTGTAATTAATATATAATATATATATATATATATTGTAAAGGAATGCATACGATGAAAACAGCACGCTCGACCGTCAGCGACCCTTATTTTTGCATGTTAAAGTGAATGTGGAAATGCGGAGGAGCCTACCACAGATTTAGGATGGTCTAGAGTCTAAAGAGGTTTCCATGGCCTACACCGTTACACGGACTCAAGGCAAACCATTGTTGGCGATAGAGGGGTCCCAATCATCGACGAAGACGCATGAAGACGCATGAAGAGGTACGAAGACGCATGAAGACGCATGCAGAGGTACGAAGACGCATGAAGACGCATGCAGAACGTATTGCATCAATCTTTACGGCTTTCAAAGCGAGAGAAGAAAGAACAACTCTCACTCACTCACACACGCTCCCACTCTCACTCACTCTCCCACTCTCACTCTCACTCTCCCACTCTCACTCTCCCACTCTCACTCTCACTCTCACTCTCACCCACACTCACTGTCACTCTCACTCACACTAAAACTCACTCTCACGCGTCGGCGCGCATCGTCACGCATCGTCACGCAGCGTCACGCAGCGTCACGCAGCGTCACGCAGAGTCACGCAGCGTCACGCATCGTCAGCGATAATTGGACAACCAAAGCTTGAACGGATACTGTGACCGGTGGAAGTGGAGATGACATGGAGATGGCGTCAGCGTTGACCGGATGTGTTCTCCCCTTGATCATGGCTTCCGCTTTGAAACTTCACACTTTCAGCCACAAACATTGGGTTTTGGGCACATCTCAGCAACATGGTTGCCGAATCCAATGGTCTTGGGGGCCCACTGAATCAGACGGTGACCCTGTTGACCCGCTCCGTTCAGTTCGTCCAGCTCCGTCCGACCTCGGGAGGCGATCACTGCGGGAGGAGGAGTGACCACACGAATCAAGACTCGGTGCATGGTGCGAGCACCAGCCACTTGGCACAGACCTCCGAGGCATCGTGAAAACTGGGCATCCGAGGTGCTGGAACAAAATACCAAGGTGTCTTTGGTTATGGTATTGGTAGTTATGGTAGTTCCTGGTAGTTCCTGGTTATGGTTATGGTATGGTTATGGTAGTTCCTGGATGTTCCTGGTAGTTCGTCCAATTTCTATCTCTGGCGGTGGCACACTCCCAGCCCAGCCTAACACCGCATTTTTGTTGAGCAGAAAGAGCAGTTTTGTAGGAGCTCAGGCAGGTTTGTCGATGTTCCATTTCTTCATTCACAATTCATTTGTGTCACTTCTCACCACTTCGGAACATATTGAACCTAAGGTCTTTATTTTCCACAACATCTCTGACGCCAACGAGTTCTACCGCTATGCCCACAAAGCTTCAACCCAGGACAAATGTGGGAGATGACGTTTAACTGATCACCGTTTAGCTCAATGGATGTTTTCATTTCTACTTGTGGCCTCTCTTGTGTTCTTGTGGGAAGACGTATCAGAGCCGTTCATGTTCGGGCGTTCAGGTGTGGAACCAAGAAAATCGATGTCCAAATGGATGTTACAGTCGATGTGGAAGTTGAGGTGGAAGCACAAGAAACCCAACACGTAGAAATAGACGTAAATCACTCGATCTCACGGTCAATGTTGGAATGCATGTGGAAACAACATGAAACAAAGACAACGCACATAATGTCACTCAAACCGATGTAGCAGTTGATGTTGGGCGCGGAAGTACACTTCCTCCTCTTCCACAATCCTACTTGCTACACGATGGCACTGGGCCACGCAAGTGCACTTTCCACCAAGGCCATGCCACACCGCATGCCACAGTGACATGGCGGAAGTAATTTCGCTGCACTGTGTAGTGTGTACCATATACATTAGATGCAAACATGTGACACAACACTGCCAGTCACATCCCGCTCACCAGCGGTTTCCGCGTTGACACACATGGTACGCGTTTGCGCATTGGACCGAAGCCGTGCCAAACCGCTTTGGACAGCGACATCACGGACTTCGACCGCCGCTCCGTGCTGAAGCACGGACAGACCTGGGGACTGCTAATGACTTAGGGCTTTAACATAGCTAGATCAAGAATTAACATAGTTCATTGGCTAGAGGCTTAACTTCCTTGAGGATAAAGGGACGGGTAGCTAGCTCTTTAGCTAACGAACTGGCTTTGTTTGCACAAGTGAAATATGTCCTTGTCGCGAGAACGATGGAAAGAACGCAACAAAAGCCAAGAAGACTAATAGTTTCAATGTATTTCCTAAAACTATCATAACAGTTTGTTTAGCGCCATTGGGCCAAGCTAGGCAAGGAACAAACAGATTTGGTTGGAAAATGAACAAAGCCAAGAAACTGGCAAGGATTTCTATATAAAGCTATTTAAACAAAAACTTTGAGTTTCCGCAGGGTTTGCAACCTGTACGTATGCAAAGGTTTTGTTTTGTGCAGAAGGAGCTTTTGCAAGGCTTTTCGTTTTCTGAAAGATTCTGAAAGCAATGTGTTGACAAAAACTTGTGCAAGGCTGACAGCAGGCAAAACCGTTTCAACATATGCATAATTTGCCACATTTTCCAACAAAAAACGAACATATTTAAGGCATTGTGTCCAGTCTGCCAAGTTCAGCGTCCTTTGCACCAATGCCTAGGCAACATTGTTCTAATTTTCCGTTCAGGCAAAGCTGTGTAAGTCATGGGTGCTATAATGTCTTTGATATCCAAAAACAGCTGACAAGATCTGAC